GAGGACACGCTAAACAACTGAGCTACCCAGCCAGGGCTGAAAATGCATCTAATGCATCTAACCTACCGAACATCTGAGCTTGGCTTAGGCTAACTTAAATGTGCTCAGAACAGAATATAACAACAACAAAAACACAGGTAACACAGTACATTGTAGAGTACTGGTTGTTTACCCTTGTGATCACGTGCGCAAGTGGGAGCTCAGATTCACTGCTGCTGCCCAATATCACGAGAGGCTGTCATACTGTACACCACTAGCCTGGGAAAAGATCCGAATTCAAAATTTCAAGTACGGTTTCCACTCAATGTGTACTCAATGTATGTTGCTTTCATACCATCGTAAAATATTTTAAAAAATGTTTTCATTGGTTTCAGAGAGGGGAAGGGAGGAGGACTGAGAGACAGAAACATCAATAATAAGAAAGAATCACCAATCGGCTGCCTCCTGCATGCCCCCTATTGGGCTGCAGCCTGCAACCTGGGCATGTGCCCTGACTGGGAATTGAACTATGACCTCCTGGTTCATAGGTCGATCTCAACCACGGAGCCACACCAGCCGGGTAGTCAAAAAATCTCAAGTGGAATCATCATAAACCAGGGACCATCTGTCATACGTTTAAAAAAAGAGGTGCTTATAAGCAATACACTAGATAATGGCTGTTGGGTTTACAGAATCGTGTGTGTGCAAAAATACTAAATTTCCTCTTCTGTTTTTCTTCTCTTTTGTTCACTCCAGACCACAAAGCAAATCACTTAATGGTGGAGAGGCTTCAAACTAATGCTATCCTTTCATAAAGGTCTGGTCACTTGGGTTGTATCGGAGATCTAGTCAAGAAGTTATAGGAAAACGACCCACCCTTTAGAAAACCCCTCATACAGGAAAGAGCAAGGAATCTAGGCCTCGCCTCTTTAAAAGGCCCCCGTGCTTCCCTTTATGCAGAGCCAGAGAGGCCAAGGCAGTCTCTGGGAGCCCTCTGGGCCACCCTGCCCGAGGCAGCCCGGTTCCTGCGCTACCACCATCTGTCCGCTCAGTGGTCCCTTTCCGAAAGAGCGGAATCCTGACTGCATTCTATTTGCTCTGCAGTCTTGGTTAGAACAGTTCCTTTCCCAAGTCCATCTGACATAAAAAACATTTTAAGTAAAACACATACATATGAGGGCAGTGTAATTGCTCTTACTGACTTCTGATCTAGGGGATCTTGTCCATTTTATTAGTTTTGACTTTTCTTCCCTTAAAGCTCAGGGTAGCTAGCAGGCAGCAATCGAGGGGCTCCTGTTTATATGCTTCCTGCCGGTTTTCCATGGGAAGAAAGAGGCCAGGAGGAAAAGGGGGAAATGAGGAGAAGGAGCAATGGCTTCACTTATTTTGCTGGGACTTCACCCTCTGAGTTTGGACACATCCTTGGCGACTCCTAAAGGTCTGCTCTGTCCTGCATTTGCAGGAGAAAAAAGTCTAACTTAAAGACTAGAGGCCAAAAAGGCGAATGGGAGGTTGCTGAATCAATAAAATATACACAGGGAAAATGGTCAGTAATCTGCACTATTTCCTCAGACAACTGAGAAAAAGAAACAAAATTAAGTGACACTTTTGTTCTAAAGGCTCACATATAAAGATTCTGCTTTATCTCATGTTTTCAGAAACACTCCAGACATGTCGAATAAACTCTCCTGAACTTTAAAAAGAAAAAGATTGGGTATGAATGTTTGGAAGTGAAAGTGCAGGAATGGGAGTAACTCAGGAGGAAAAAAAGAGTATTAAGTTTAAAGCAGTTATTGTTATTCTCTGCCTTTTCCCCACTCCCTCCATTCCCCGGAAGGCGGGGTTCATAGTGAAACACTTCTGAGAAGGTATATTCATTCCACTCCCAACCCTACTCTCTAAAAATCACTGATTTAAAAGCTATTGTTTTAAAAAGGACGTTCAGTTTAAAACACTGCTATGATCATACGTTAACATCTATGTGTAAAAATTATGTTAATGAGAACAATTTCTTATGTAATCAATAGGTAATATCAATGCAAGTGGAAAACTATTGGAAATACCACTGTATACATCTTTTAAAGTAAAAAAAAAAGAATATCCTAATGAAACCTTGTGATGGTAAGGCTCAAAAGAAGGCTCTGGGATTTCTATTAGTTGTACTGTAAATTGACACCAAGCAAGAGTCTAAAGAGGATTCTACTCTGACCAATAATTCTGCTAACAAAAAAATTATCCTAAGGAAGTTATTCAACAGAAAGAAAGTAGATATAAATAAGGACTATCATAGAATCACTTAAAAGCAAAACAAAAAAACAATCTAAACATCCTATGACAAGCATCCACTATACCCATTTCTGTGTTCATGCTCATCACATATTAATGGTTTGTTCGACAACTATCTTCCCACTAAAGCTAAGCTCAGTGAGTTTAGGGGTTGTCTATGTCTAGATCTTTGGCACATAATAAATGTAGGATGCAGGATTTAAGAACAGATATTGAAATATTTGTAATATGATTTTAAGCAAAAATAACTATATATATATGTATGTGTGTGTATGTGTGTGTCTGCTAGAACTGAAACTCTGTATGTATGTATATACACATGGAAATTACTGTACAAAAATGAAAGTAGTTGTATTAGGATGAGGAATCATTAGATAGCTTTTAAATTACTTCAAATATTCTTTAAGGTTGTTGTTTTAGTGCCTCTGAAAAGTAAAAGGAAGGAACATATTTGCTGTTTTGTACACTCAACACGACTTCATAGTAGAAATGAAATGGCAATTATAAAAGCTTGAAGAGTCACCTCAGCTCACCCACAGGGACCCAGGTATCCATTTTTTGCTCAAGGATAGAAAGACACAAAATACTCATATATCATAGCTAGCATAACCCTATTTTTAGTAAAATCCTGGAACAAAGGCAATATGTTTTAAAGAGACAGGTGGAAAAGGGCTCTAAAGCACTCTTTTGAAGAGTGAATTTGCTGGTTACTAACAGCAGGGGGTGCCAAAGGGATCGCTATTGTTCCCAGGAGATGGCCAGGAGGAGGACTGTCTTTAGCCACCTTGGCTAAAAAGCTTAAGCTGCGCTGAAAAAATACTGTTGGTTTCCCCCTAACAATGGGGACCTATGGGTAAGAGTCAGGTGCTCCGTAGGCTTGAATGAATAAAAATTACATTTTTATTTTCACTAGCTATTTAACATTTCCTTGCATTAGAGTCAACAAATCACAGAGTTTTTAGTGCTGGCGAGTTGTCATGAACAGAAATCATAGATTTAATGATAGCACACTCAAGTTGGTGCAGATGTCTCCAATATTACACTCAATCACTCCTTTGAAACAAAATTTCAGGAGTTACTGGATCTTGTTACTCGTATTAACAACACCATCCATATTATTATTCTATCACAGATTTAACAGTTGATAACTTTAAATACAAGAAATCCTTGTGTAGTCATGTGAATGTTACTTTCTGCAATTACAAACACTTCTCTGAGAAGGGCTCTTATAGGCTTTACCAGACTGCCAAAGGCCCAGGGTCCTTAGAATCAGGTTTAAAACATGCTGCTAATGAACAGATTCTGATTCTGGTAACCAAGCGGGACCACATAAGAATCTGAAGCAAAGCACAACTTTTAATAAATAAAAGAAATGATATGCCCTTTGCAGAAGTGATGAAAGGAGAGTGCCAGGTCAAAAGAAGAAGTAAAATGACACCCAAATCAAAGAAAAGGAACTTTCATAGATCCTCCTCCAGAGAGCCATGAAGTAATGCACATAACATCTGACACCAGTCAGAGACTGCCCGTTGGGTCTGAACAAGCTGATGAACAAAATTTGGAAAATGAGAAAACTAAGCCAGACTTTTATCCAAAGAGGTTTAATTCTTTATCTCAGATATATTCACCTAACGTACACGATCCTTCTCATAACAGTGTTCATGAGGGTTCAAGACTGCGTATTTCTTCTAGTAAAAATCTGATAAAAAAAAAAAAAAATGTCCTGGAGAGCTCACCAGGCTCTGCAGTGAGTGATGGGCAGGAGGAGATGACATGGATGACGTTTCAAGTCACCCAGAGAACACACAAGCCAGGAGCAGGTGGCAGAACACTACAGGAACTGACAAATACCAAATTTGTTTCAAATAACACTGCTACATCTGAAAACAAGTCAGAAGATCTTAGTTTAGAGCTGCCAAAATGAAGGTGCGCTCCTCTCAATTTGAAAAAGCCAAGTCTCAGAGACAAAAATGAGAAGATAAGGTGAATTTATGAATTCTGGTTTTTCTGAATTCTGAAACCATAACGAGTCAAAACGGATATAATTAGAAGAGGGAAATACATGAAGGTTTTTTTTTTTTTTTTTCATTTTCTGCCTTTTCATGGAGTATTGATTTATCCATTTTTGTTTATATATTGCATAATATAGCTGTTTTGTAATATTAAATTGTATTATAAAATTTAAAATATTTTTTGTTATTCTATAATTTATATTCCTGCTCATTCGACTTTTTCAATGTTAATAGACTTAACTAAACAATAGCTGTTAAGTTTTTAACTAATAAAATGTATAATAAATAAGAAAATAAATAAAGGAAGACCACCAAGAGGAAACATCGAATTGGATCTGAACAAAGTTGGTGAGAAAAGGCAGTATGTTAAGTCACAAGAGAGAAGTGGCTGGAATGCACATTTTCATTCAGTTTGAAGAGAATTTCTGCTTCACAGGCTCTGAAGTGCCCCAACCTGTCCAGAGGCCTAGCTCATGGGTGGGACGGACATTCAGAGATCGACCTAATACAATTTGCTACTACAAAGCAGTCTGTATTTAATGTAAGTGCAGAGGCATGAAATACAATGTAAATGTTATCCCCAACATCTCTCTGGAAGTAATCATTACATGTGGACTCTCCAGATACCAAATATTCATTTCATGAACAAAATCAAAATCAAATCCAAAATGACACCAAAGGCAGAGATGAGATACTGAGATAAGCAACAGAGTCAATACTCACATTCGAACAAAGAGTGACTCTTTGGATGTCAGACCCGGAGATGAGTACTTTTCAACCAGGGCCAAAGTACTGAAGCCAAACTTATGAATGGGCTCATTGGAATCCAGTGGGGGGAAATCTGTGTCAACCTCCCCATCATCCTCAGCAATGTGCAGGCAGTAGGCATTGACATTGTCACTGAAAGGAAAACCAAAAAGGTGAGTGAAAACCAAACAGAAAAAGGAACTCGGCGACCAGAGGCCCTGATGTGCAGCAAGCAGACTTGGGAAACTACTGTCCTTCACCCCAAGGCCTGCAGTTATATTTGGATCCCCCAAGCCCCACCTCATTTGATAAGGAGAAAAACACAGCAGGGCAGAGGGGGGAAAACCAATGTGAAACAAGAGCCTTCACACTCCTCTATTCTTCCAACAAATACTTACTGAGCACTTGTTGTAAATAAGACACAGAACCCCTTAGATCAAAGATGAGATTTAGCAACGGTCCTCAAGGAAGCTTACAATTCAGCAGATGGAAAAAGTAAGCACTATATTAGTTATAAAATAATTGTAAATATCATGAAAGAGATTCACAGAACTATAAGAGAGAAAATGATTTGGGGGAAATCGGTGGACTTTGATTTATGGTCAGGATTAAGAAAATATCTGCTCTGGCTCAAGAAGTAACAAAGACAATCAATACAGTTCTCCTTTCTCTGAAGAAAATCAGCCTCACTTGGCAGGACCTGATTCCACACACCAAGAGTACTTAACGGAGTAAAGCAAATGACCTGATTTATCCTGACCAACTGCTTATGGACTTTTCTCACTTCCCTAGAATGTCCAGCCAGTAATCCCAGTTTCCAGCCTCTCCCAATTTGTAATCAACATGCATCTCTTTCTCCTTCTTTGGAAAATTAAAAAGTCAATTTGTGGGAAAAGGTTGGGAAACTCTTATCAACATAAAGACAATTTAAAACTGAAATCAACTTAAAACACTTTAGATACTTTATATATTGAATAACTGCAAATTTGTTTGTGAAACTGCAAATCTGTTAGTATTCAGAAGCATGAACCTAATAGTTCAAAAGCAGTGGGTTTCTAAATTCTGCAGCTTAAATTTGGAATTTTAATTATATGATTGATGCTTAAATTAATTAATTGCAAAGTGTATGCTAATTGTTTAATTGGTTGCTTGATCTATATAGATCATTTTTTGAATTAAATGAGTTGATTTACAAAGTTTATTGATTGGATGTGACAATGAATTATTTCACTGACTACCTGATTTGCAATTTTCCCAATTAATTCACAAATCTTTTGCCGCAATTCTGCTTACTGAGAGAGAGCCTACTTCAGGTGATCTATACTCAGTCTGTCACGATTAAGAGATATTTATTATATAAAACAGGTAATAAGGACAGATTAAAATTAATGGGAACTGTAAATCTGCTAAATGGATGGATAACAAGAAAGTAATCTGGCTATGTTTGTCACTATAAATTTCATGTATTTGCAATGCTGTTAATTTAAAATTCATCTCTGAATGGTATGGAAAACTTACAGATCTTTGCAAGAGGTTATTAACACACACAAAACATGTGCAGAAGCAGAAGAAAGCCGTTTAGATGAATAAAATGTCCTGGTGGAGGACCTATGAGCTTTGTGTCCAGGAAGACTTGAATTCAACCCTAACTCCATCACTCAGAATAAGCTTCACCTCCTTGAGTTTCAGTTTCGACTTGTATGAAAAGGGTATAATCGCCTAACTCAGGGGTGGTTCTGAGGATTAGATGAGATAATATATTAGTGCTGAGCATAGAACAGAGGTTAAAAAAAAAAAGGCATGATAACTATACAAAGTCAGATGGAAAATAACTTTGACAGTTATATCAATCCTTAAAGATAAACTGTGTGGGTGCACATTAGCCAGAAAACAACAATGAAACTGAGTTCTATGTGCACACATCTGTAGCTGGAGTTAACATGTCCACTGTGCTCCAGCCGTGGGGCCACTGAGCCTCCGGGGTTTTATGACTACGGCAGACACTGATGAAGCAAGCAGTGGACAGCACAGATTATTGATGGCGTGGAAATTATCCTGAGGAATGCCTGTGATTCCCCGGCATTGCAGAGGTTTCAAGGGCAAATAATAAGCCTATTGATCAAAGCAGAAAGCCAAGCACTGGTATCAGAAGAATTCTGCTTTGATTGTCATGGGAGGCCCCACAAATCCCCTCAAAACAAACTCAACAAATGTCACAGGCTGAGATCTGAGAGCCAAAAGACTCCCAGCCAAGTGCTGTTATTCTCCCCAGTTCTGAATACAAGGTGTGAAATCACTTATTGTTTCAAAAAATATTTGCATAGTGCCTGCCCAGTGCTGCTGCATGATCCAGCAAGGAGAAGAAAGAACGACTCACTCTGTATTATACACTACTACAGGAAGTCTTTTCTGGTTTACCAGTAAAGTTTAGCAGAAAACAGTGCTCCATCCCCTAAAACCTCTTAATTGAATGCCTAAGAGGGGGAAAAAGACTGAAATTCCATATTTTACGTATGGACATATTGGTTCTTTCTACAGGAATGATTAATGAAAAAGTTACTGTGGTATTTTGACTTCTAAAACTGCTTCAAGACTCCAAATTAGTAATCCTATATAATAAAAGGGTAATATGCAAATGGACCAGCAGAACGACCAGAATGACCGCTGGACCAGTCACTAGGAGGCGCACTCACTGACTACCTCTTGGTCTCTTTCCCTGGCCGGCAGGCTCCAATTGCCTGATGGCCACCCACGGTGGGGGTGGGAACTGCTGACCTCTCGGTCCCTTCACCTGGCCAAGAGACACCAATCACCAAATGGCGAAGGGGGTACCAGGGGTGGGTGGCATCAGGGGGCGGGGCTGGCTGTGGGCACCTGAGGAAGATGGCCCTGATCGCAGGCCAGGCCTAGAGACCATACCCAGGCACAAATTTCATGTGCCAGGTCTCCAGTAGTACAATGACCATTAGTATCATTAGCTATATTTATTGCGGGCTAAGTGCCAGGTATTGTGCACAGTGGGTTAGACACATAAGCTCAAGGAATCTTCACATCATCTAAGTCACATTATTAAGTGTGTTTTCTTACAAATTAGAAAACAGAGGCTCAGTGAGGTAAATGGTTTAAGATTAAACAGCATGTAAGAGACAGAGCTGAGACTCAAACCCAAGTAGTCAAGAACCCTCCCTCCTGACCCCCACCTATCTCTCTGCCAAAGCCATGGCGTGCTCCTATGGAAATGCTACATACTTTGAAAGGAGGAGGAAATCACGTGCATAATTAAAAAACCCAGAAGTTTAGAGACATTTATTGCAACCTCCTTGCTGTTACAGCTGGGAAATAGATGCTAGAAGAGAGGAATGACATGGTCGGGATCACCCAATTAAACAGGGCCAAAGCCAGGTCTAGAGAACTCCGGGCTCCTTGCTTCCGTTCCATTTCCCTTTGATCAAATCAGAAACTGGTGGCATTTTGAAGTGGGGAGGGAGACGACGGGGGGAGGGGGCAACTGTGGTCCATGACTCTGGAATTCCCCAAATATAGACATCTGGAACTTATAAAACAGTGAAAACGGGCGCCTCCTTATGACACAGTTCAGTGGAATGAAGGGAGGTTTTGCAGTCAGATCTGGTTTTAATGCTAACAACCTTTAACCAGCTGTGTGACCGAATCTCTCTGAGCTCCATTTTCTCATCTATAAGAAGCTTTCGTTGATTTCTCAAGCTTACGTTGATTCTCCTCTGTGGCCTTCCAGAACTTGGTTGACATTTCTGTATGTAACATTGTTCCTTTACTGTTTATGCATCTATGTTCTCCTAATGAGCGGGATCCTATTGTCTCTGCGTCCTCACTGAAGAGTAAGTGGCCAGCATTTAGAAAGTACTTAACAAATACTTGTTGAATGAATGAATATATGAATGTGTAGACTGAATCACTGTACCCATAAAAAAAAAAAAACCATAATGGGTATTATTATTTTTTTTATTCTCACTCAAGGATATGCTTTTTAAAGTGATTTTAGAGAGAAAGGGAGAGACATCCACGTGTGAGAGAAACATTGATCAGACTAAAAGGCAGAAGGTGAAACTCAGGCTGCCCCTCCTCCTCCTCCTCCTCCTCCTCACACACCAAAAAAAACAGACAAAACCCAGTCTTCCAATGCTCCCTAGATCCGTGAACATACAAACATACAAAGTGGTGCAAGTCAGAAACCTTTGATATGTCTTGTTTCCCACACTACCATATCTAACTCATTCCTAAGCCATGTGAATTTTTCTTAGATTTCCAGAATCTCTCCCTTTCTCTCAATCTCCACTGCGGCCCTGCCCACCTCTCGGTCTCTTTCCACTGCATTTTCTCTTCCCGTCTTTGTGCTCTGGCCGCACTGGCCTTTAGTTCCCTGACCACAACATGCTTCCTCCTGCCGCAGCACCCCTGCCCGGTGGTTCCGTCTGCCAGGACCTTCCCCTCCACACGCCTCTGATATCATTTTCTCGGGGAATTTCTCCCTAACGCAACTCCCAGGCCAGACTCTTTATAAACAGCATTCCTTTCCTTTCGAGCACTTAGCTCAGTTTTTAAGCAAACCTTATTTGGTTTAACTTTTTAAATTTTCTGCCCATTTCCTTTACTAAACTGTGGAACTCATGACAGAGTCCACATATGGTTCCATGAACCACTCTATACTCAGCAAAGTGCCTGGTATATAGCAAACATTCAATAAATATTTATTGTATTAATGATAAGTGAAATGAGCCAGTTACAAAGTGCTAATACATTTGATAACTTCTTTTTTCCCCACGAAACTATGAATTTTTAGGGGGAATAATGAGATTTCTCTTGTACATTTTAGACCCTAGAACTCCATAAATATTTGCTGAATGAAGGAATGACTGAGGAGCTAAGCCTTTGAGATTAAGCAGGATATCAAGAAGAATGAGAGAGGCGTTGCTGACTAAGGAAACAGCAAAAGCAGGCATGGTATCAAGTGCCAAGAAGACGCCATTTAAAGAATGTGATATGTTAGGATGCATGGGAGTATAGCTGGGGGGTCAGAGTGGGAGTTGGGCTGTATTATTTAGGTAAGTGATTCGCAATGATGACCCTAAAGAATATAAATTAGAAGCAGAAACCTACAAATGGGAGGAGAGTGGATAGAGATGGGTAGGCAGACAACAACAAAAGAACAAGAAGAAAGGAAGGAAGGAAGGAAGGAAGGAAGGAAGGAAGGAAGGAAGGAAGGAAGGAAGGAAGGAATAAAGGGAGATATAAAGAATTCTAATTGCAAAGTTGTCAGAAAGCATATAAGGTCAAATATTCCTATATACTTTCATGGCAAAGCACAATTACTTGCATCATCGGGGAAGGCCAAATTATGCTACTGTTGCTGGTAGTTTGGTTTGTAGTAGTAGCTGGTTATAGTTACAGTATTTAGCAGCAACAGAAATGAACATTTACTGAGCACTTGCCATGTATTTTCTTAATTTTATTTTCATAACTACACCCTATTAGGAAGTTTCTATTCTTATTTTACACACGAAAACTGGAGCACATGGGGCTGAAGTGATTCTCCAAAATCAGCCTGATAGGTATTAATGCCAGAATTCAAATCCAGACTATGGCTTTGGATCCCTCACTCAACCACTATGCTATACGCTGACTAAGAAGGCAGAGGAAAATGCTAAAACATCTTAGAGCAGTGGTCGCCAACCAGTGGCCTGTGGACTGTGAGGTCTGAAAGGTTGGTGACCACTGTTTTAGAGGGCTTCTATGAAAAACTATTAAAATTAAGAAATTCTTATACTAAAGGCGATAAACTCTCAACCATCTACAAAACCCACCAGGCTTCCCAAGGATTCTAGATAGCTGAGCTATATTAGAATGAAGTGGATCTGTAGTGAGCTCCATAGCATGGTAAAACCATGTCTTTGCATATTCTAGAGCTGCACTTTCCAACATCTGGCTGCTGAGCATGTGAAATGTGGCCAGCCTGAATAGAGATGTGCTGTAAATAGCAAATAAACATGAGATGTCAAGCATGTGAAAAGATGCTCAACATCATCTCATTAGGAAGTTGCACATCAAAGCAACAATGAGATACCATTGCACACTTATGAGAATAGCTAAAATCCAAAACATTTACAAAACCAACTGCTGGTGAGGATGTGGAGCAAGAACTCCCATGCATTGGTGATGGAAATGCCAAATGGTGTAACTATTTTGGAAGACAATTTGCAGCTTCTTAGAAAGCTAAACATAGGCTTTCCAAACAATCCAGCAATTGCACTCCTAGGTATTGGCAAAATGAATGGGAAACATGTCCACACAAAAACTTGCACATGAAAATTTACAGCAGCTTTATTAAAAACTAGAGGCCCATTGCACCAAATTCATGCATGGGTAGGGCCCCTAGGCCTGGCCAGCGATCAAGGCCAATTTGTGGGGTGACCAGTGGGACGATTGGGGGCCCCTGCTGGCACCTGCCTTAGCTGGCCTGGTGCTGCCCACTTGCTATCCCCCTTCTCCCCTACTCCCAGGTCACTTCCCTCTGTGAGGCGATCGGGGGTGGGGGCCCCACTGGCACCCGCCTTGGCTAGCCTGGGCCTGCAGGCTGGGGGCAGCTCCTGAGTTGAGCGTTTGCCCCCTGGTGGTCAGTGCACATCATAGTGACCGGTCATTCCACTGTTTGGTCAATTTGCATATTAGGCTTTTATTATATAGGATTCCCACAAACTGGAAGTAATCAAGCTGTCCTTCAATAGGTGAATAGGAAAACAAACACTGGTACATCCTTACAATGGAATATTACTCAGCAATATAAAGAAATGAGCTATAAAGCCATGAAAAGACACAAAGGAACCTTGAAGTGCATATTTCTTAGTGAAAGAAGCCAGTCTGAAAAAGCTACAAATTGTATGATTCTAACTAGCTGACATTCTAGAAAATGCAAAACTATAGGGGCAGTAAGAAAAAATGAGTGGTTGCCAGAGGTGAGGGGGGCTGGATAGAGATGGAGCACGGAGCATCACTAGGTCAGTGAAACCATTCTACATGATAAAATCTTACAGAGTGTACTCTAATGTCAACGACTGACTTTAGTTAATAATAACGTATCGATACTGGTTCATTGATTGTAACAAATGTATCACACTAATATAAAGTGTTAATAAAAAGGAAAGATGAGAGGCAGGAAGTAGATATGTATTATAGGAACGCTATACTTTCTGTGCAATTTTTCTGTAAACCTAAAACTACTTTAAAAAATAAAGTCTATTAAAAATGTTTTAAAATCTTATAGGTAACCAGCCTTCAAAATTACATGAAAACAGAGCTTAAAGCAAGTTGATTCACATGAAGCCAACATATCACTGGCTACATAAATGTTAGTATGGAAAGACATTGACTTAAATTGGGTCAAAAAAGAAAGCCCTCACAAAATTATTCATCATCTCTACACCTAAAAGGCTGAACGGAGACACACGAGACTAGCCTAGTGCAAAGGAGAACAAGGGGGAAAAGCTAATTGTACTGCAATAAAGAAAAAAAGGGGGGGGGGCAGGCCACAATACAAAAATAAAACAGGGCTGTTTTATATTGAAAAAAGTATAACTCACAGTAAAGATATGAAATGCATGAATCTTTTTGTGCACTGACATATACAAAATGGAAACTGCTGAAATCTCAGGAGAAATTGACAGAAGCACACAACAAAGTAGAAACTTTAATCCATTTCTCTCACTCATCCACAGATGAAAGAGTTACAACATGCAAGAACATGATCGTAATTAAAGATGTTGATTTAATAAATATATATTGAATTCTGTGACCTAAACAAAATATTTCCAGAACCCATAAAATATTTACTGTGTAGTAAGCTGCAAAATATAACCAAACCTCTAAGCAGAAATTTTATATGCCACACTGATCAAAATTCAATAAACATGAATCTATATAACAAAGTCTAAACTTAAAAATTCTTCCAAAAAATCACTGTATCAAAATAAGTAGGATAATAAGTACCACATTCCAATTTTGCTCAAGAGCTAACAAAGGAAGCCAAGAATTCCAGCTGAATTCTCCATTCCTTCCCTGCAGCCAAAGCCTGCTACCATAAACAGTTTACAAGGCAGAGACACGGGAACCATGCTCTTAAATAAATGGTTTTCTTGACGAGCAAACTGAAATGCAACTAGCAATATGGACCCCTGTGAATGGAGAGCTCCCCCAAAGTGCCACCCCACTGGGAAGATCAAATAAGGAGCCATCCCAACACCTAAGTTCAAATAAGCTAGAAAGAAAACACTTGCACTACACTGATAAGAAATCCAATGAATTTACTTTATAGATTGTCTTATACCAAACACAACAGAGAAATCCATGTAAGAATTGTAAAACATTTCAAAAGACCATAGTTTCTTTAACTTCAATATAATTCTGTAATTCAAATTATAGTTATAGAGCAACTATTTAAAAATGTCAACACACTTGATATACTTCAGGAATATAAATTTTAATAAGACATACTCAATTTCAGAGGCTTACAAACGAATACAAGAGATAGTCCCTATTTTGGGGGTTCAGAATTGCTAATTATATTGGCTGATTATACCTTTCCTTATTAATATCTGGTTTGTTTCATTTACTACTTTCTAATAGGAATATATTGAAATTTCCCAGTTTGACACTGGATCAGTTAATGCCTCTTTAAAACTTCCTTAAAATAGTTTAGACTATGTTGCTAAATACATACACAGTCAGAATTATTATATTATCTTGATGGGCTGCTCCTTTTTATTATGTAATCTACCAAAATTTCCCTATTGACATGTTTTTGCCTTAAATTCTACTGTTTGATGCCTTGCCACTGGTCCAAATTTAAGTAGGGGAGATAAGAAATTTAAGTAGGGGAGACCAATGCAGCAAAGCACTTTCAAGTTCAAGCTATGATGTACAAGCAAAGAGACTCTACATTCAAGTTCTACATCCTATATAATAAAGAGGTGATATGAAAATTGACCATCATGCCCTCGCCCATTGGTCACAAGAAAGCTGCCCCGATATTGCCACAAGATGGCTGGTAGGGGAAGGCAGTTGGGGGCAACCAGGCCTGCAGGGGAGGGCAGTTGGGGGCAATTGGGCTGGCAGGAGAGCAGTCAGGTGTCAATCAGGTTGGCAGAGGAGTGTTTAGGGGGTGATCAGGCTGGCAAACAGAAGCATTTAGGGGCAATCAGGCAGGCAGGCAGGCAGGCGAGCAGTTGGGAGCCAGCAGTCCCAGATTGTGAGAGGGATGTGACCGTTGAACATCCCTAGAGGGGTCCCAGATTGGAAAGGGTGCAGGCTGGGTGCAAGAATTTCATGCACTGGTTTTAAAAATAATTGTTTAATGAGGAATACAGTCTAGTGATTGAGAGATAAAACTGAGTCAACGACTGGCAACAAAGAAAACTAATTCAGACCAAAAGAAATAATGCAAAAACCTTGGCACTGAACAGACCAGGAATCAAATCCTGACTCTGCCATCTCCCACTGGTGTAACCTGCAGCAAGTAACAATTCTCCTATGCAGAATGAGAGTCATAATGCTCACCTCACAGGGAGCTAGGAGGATTCAGTGAGAAATCAGGTACGAAACACCCAGCATGGTCCCAACTCATGGTAGGCACTTAATAAACATTAGTTCCCTCCCACTAACTCCCTCGCTACTTTTATCAGCAAGCCTCATAAAAGGGTTTGTAATTGCAACATGCATTTTCCTCCTGTCTGGATTCACAAACTTATCAGTGTATTTACAAGTAGATTCTGAGATAAGCCTGAGATACACAGGTCCAAGATCTGGAGAGCAACCTGACCTGCATTAGTGTGGGCGTCTGGTTCCCGGGCCAGTGCCTAGAAACCCTGGGCCCGGATGCAGTTTGGGTGGCCAGGAGACAGCCAGGAACTAGAGCAGCCAGAAAAGAGGAAGGATTACTTGAGCTTCGGCTCCCGTCCTTCGCTTGTGTACTGCCAGCAGATGAGGCCGATCAGGTCCTGCACCCTGGCGCTGGCCATGGTCACCACGGTCATTGGCAGCAGTCTGTCCTGGCTCGAGTGTAAGGGGAGGTAGACATCGATCTTCTTGGTGGCTGTTGTGCCTACATGACCCTGCGGACAGAACACATGCATGAGGGTAAGGCATACACTTCCGGTCATGCAGACCCTACTGGGCCACCACTACTGCTCTCCAGGCCTGAGCGCAGCACGGCCATCTCGGATCCTTCTTGCATAGACCTGCTTATGAGCCTGGAAAGGTCCCCCAAGTGGAAACACTGTCTAGTTTTAAGGTGTTTTTTTTTTTTTCTTTAATATTCATTTTCTAACCGTCTAATTGATCCAATTTTGCCAGCAGTAAGATAAAGGAGTGGTACAATTAAAACCAACTAATCAGAATGGTGAGCAGATCTGCTGGTTAGTGGCAGGAGACTTGCTTTGCTACTTATTCATTGTGACCTTGGAAAAGTCACAATGAGACCTGGGCATCAGCTGCCCTCCCTGAAAATTGCGGTCTTACTCCTTGAGACCTTGGGAAAAGCTACCTGGGAAGCTGCCACACTTTCTGGGGAAGCTTTTAAGCCTGCAGCACTGCATCAAAGGGCTTTCCTTCTCAGAGACTATGGGAGGCTAATTCTATGATGTAATGTACTTCAGTCATCTGCTATGAAGTTCAAGGGTCCCTAGGCTTCCGTTTTTGCTCTAACCATCATATCACACTGACAGTCCCTCCCAAACACCTATTCCTTCTCCCTCCCAAACCTCTCACTCCCCTTTGGAACTCCAGCACTAATTAAACATTCCCCCCATCTCTGGCCAGTGTGGCTCAATTGGTTGAAGGCTCAGCTGATATGACATCTCCTCAGAGAAACCTTTACTGAAAATTCTATAGAAAGAAGCCACCCTGCCAGTGTGGCTCAGTGGTTGAGCATCAACCCCTGAACCAAGAGGTCAGTGGTTCTACTCCCGGACAGGACACAAGCCCAGGTTTCAGGCTCAATCCCCAGTAGGAGGGGCATGCAAGAGGCAGTCAACTGATGTTTCTATCTTTCTCTCCTTCTCTAAAAATCAATGAAAAAACACACACATATTATAAAAAAAGAAAGAAGCCCTGACCAAAGTTATTCTCACATATATCCTGTTCATTTTCTTCATAGCATTAATAACTTTACATTATGTATTTGTTCATGTATATTCTTAGTGTACGCCTTCTCCACTAGCCTCTGAGCTCCATGAGGGCAGCTATAATAATGTCTGCTTTGTTTACTGCTCTATACACAATGGCTAGCACTGTGCCTACATAAAAGATTCTCCCCCCAAAAATCTGTTGAGCTGCAAAATGTGAGAGTTTTAAATAAACTCTCACAATCACTCTAAGAGTTAGGGTTCTAATATTACCCTCATATGCATAAATAACTTCAATGACTACCAAGATACAAGATAGAAACTTAATAAAAGCTAGGCTGCTCCATCCATCCCTCTTGCCTTTCCACTACAGGTCTGTTTCCTGGAGGTAGATGGAGAATAGAGGTACCTGAGCAACCACGTGGTTCCAGCTTTAACATTATAATTGTATTATTCCAAGGCAGAAAAAAAAAATAGATCAGAACTAAGGTAAGGAAATACATAAAATCTGTTTTAAAACATTTGAAGAGAAATCCCACATCTCTTATGACCTAGCATCTAATATTAGAACCATTGATTTTTTAAAATGAATCTTGTCTCTGTTATAAAGCAAATAATAAAAAAGCAATTCTCTTACATAATGCATGCTCTCTCGTGCTCTCTTATGCGTACCTACACATGCATATACTCACATCCATGCATGTTTTTCAGCCTGAAATAATTCCAATGACTAGCAAAGACATCTCCAAAAAGCAAGTGTTTGGCCTTGTTAGGCAATTAAAGGGTTAAAATTAAAATAAGGGCAAGCTTTCTGGAGTTTCTGGTTTGTCACCCCCTTATCACTCTTCTCAACCTCCTTTTACACCCTACCAGTTCTTGCACTTGCTTTTCCTTCTTATTTTTTTAATTTTATTCCTTCTCCTTCCTCTGAAGAACTAGAGCTGAGGGACTATCGGAATAACAGTATCTCAAATTAGGAAGGTTCAATGAGATGACCGCTGTAAATGTGCTTCACGAACTGCAGAGTGCTTTGGAAATGCAGAGCAGTATGCTAGAAAGCGCTTAAGTTTTAAAATCAGACCCATTTCTATTACTCAAGGTTACATGAGACCAAAGATGGATGCTATAGGAGCCCTAATAATACGTTATTATTATAACAAGAACTGATATTTATAGCTGTTAAATAAATTCTGCAAAATTTATTAAATTTTAAATAAACTCTCACAATCACTCTAAGAGGTAGGGTTCTATCATTACCCTCATATTACAGATGAGAAAACTAAGGTGATTAAGGCTACTGGCATCTACTCAAAATCCCATAACCAGGGTGGAGGAGGCGGAATTTAAGCCCAGGTCTGTTTGACTCCAAAGTCCCTGCTCCCAACACCAATGCCTTCTTTCCCAAAAGTCATCCTAATGAAATCATTCCCACTTTCAAAGGTTTGGAAATCATCTCCTCGCCTCTGCTCACAATGAACCGGAAGTGCTGCCTAAAGCAGCCTCCTATCGGGGTGGGGTGAGGGGGGTGGTGGGGAGAGAGCTAGCTCTGAGGGGCCAGCCAAGAAGTGTTCTGGGATTAAGACTCAGAGAACGTCTCTATTTTAAGTTGACTAAGGGCACTATTGTTAAGGAATGATACTCCTATGAATCCCTTTATCCTCTTTATCTCACTGTGAAATAGCAAGTGTGGGGGAAACTATGAGAATAAATATGGTGGATGCTTATTAAATGAAAAAAGTGCTTTATCTTTTTAAGTCTCCTAATTCCATCTGGAGGCACTGACGCCGGGAACGAGTATCTTGCACAAACACTGAAATTACATATTTTTTAATAAGGAGCCTCGTCTGAAAAACTCAAGGCGGTGGCAGTTAGCTCTGTCTAATAGTCCCTGTGTTGCAACATTTAGAGGGAATCATCTAAAATATAAAACAATCCATCAACATAATAGAAAGTAATTAACTTATTAAAAAAGAATAAGGTGACCAAAGGATTAAAAGTATTCATCACACATCAAGGCAAGCCATATTTCAAAGACCCAACATCTTACTATTAAAAAGCAACTAGCAATCATAGTTTCACTGCATGGCAATTTATGTTTCCACAACATGGAACTAGGGAAATGGAGGTATAATTAGAGCATAACGGGTCAACACAGAGATAGGGAAAACTGGTTTAGCACCATCTTTCTCAGTCACTCATGCATTCAACAAACACCCACCGAAACGCCATGTGGGGCTCTGAAGACAAAATCAAGCGAGACGCAATGCAGATCCTCATCAAATTCACGGTATCCTGGAGGTCTGCGTGTACAACGTAATAAAAAGCTTCAGGGTCTGTCCTGTGAGCTCAGAAGCAACCAAGACCAATGGGGGCCTCCCTCCTAGATAAAAAAATTTGCCCTTCCATCTAACAGAACCACCAACCAAGGAAAAGATGCTTACTGTACTTAAACACCAATTACCAAATACACAAAAAGTGAATCGAGGTCCTCTGAGACATGGGATCATAGTGATTTTAATTTTCTGCTTTATATTTTCTGCATTTTATATAATGATCATGCATTATTTTTATAATCAGAGACAAAATAGTAAATATTATAATTATGAACAGAAGAGGCGATAAAAAGAACTACCACAGAGGGCCTGAGAGCGTTGAGAGAGGATCCGTTGTGAAAGGGAGCCTACGTTAAGGCCTCCAGCATGATTTATTAAAAACACACCAGGTGCCAGGTGTGGTGACAGGCTGTTGAAAAAAATGTTTTAAAATGTAATTCAGACACCTTCCTGTGGCAGGCTAAGTGATTTTTATCAAAGAAAATAAAAAGTAATAAACCCGCAAAGAGCTGACAAACTCGGATTTGAACAACTCTCTCCAGGAGCAGCCCCTAATCAGGGAATGCCCCAAATTCAGGTTTTGAAACAAAAAAGTTTGTATTCCCTGTAGCAAAACTATTCCTCAACACAAATGCAATTCCTGAAGATCGGCTAGATTCCAGAGTTATATCACACGGCCTCTCCATGACTTGATGGCTCTGCAAATGCAGCCAAATCTCAAACTCTCCATGTCCAAGACCTATTTTCTTCTTCATCCCTTCTCTCATTCAATATTCCATCTCAGTGAAGGCTTTCACCACCTACTCTGGTCTCAATCTAGGAAATTTAACTCCTCTGTCCCATCTACATCCAAATGCCTCGGAGACATCTCTCAATTCTTTCTCCTCGCACTGCCCTAGTTCACTGCTAGAGTATATTGAATGGAAGTTAAGGGTACAGATTTGGGGTCAGCCAGATCCAGGTTTGAACCCAGACTCTGCCACTTGTTTAGCTGCCAGACCTTAGATGTTGGGTAACTAGCTACACCTCTCAGAGCTTCCATTCCCTTGCTTGGAAAGTAATTAAGATGTATAGAAAATGCCTGGTACATAGCCAGTGGTTTTTCAAAAAGTGCATACATATCAATAGAATGAACAATATTCTTTTAACACGTGATTTTAAACATGTGCGTTATATTACAGCATGTAGTAATACTATCAACATACTCCCTGGTTGTTACACTGTTTCAGGTATTTCACTATTATGAATAACAGACTCCTAAAAATTCTTATGTAAATGTATGTGCACATTTTCCTAGAAGTAGATTATTGAGTCAAAGAGTATGAATGCTTTCTGGCTTATAACATATACTGTAAAAGTTTACTTTTTTAAAAAAATATTTTATATTATTATTTTTAATTTCTTTATTGATTAAGGTATTACATATGTGTCCTTATTCCATTACCACTTAACTCCTCTCCCATTCATGCCCTTATCCCCCTGTTGTCTGTGTCCATTGATTAGGCCTATATGTATGCATATAAATTCTTTGGTTGATCTCCCCCCTTTACTCCCACCATCCCCTACCTTCCCTGAAGTTTGACGTTCTGATAGAAGTTTACTCTTTTGAAAAGTGTCTTTATGTTAATCATGAAATGTTGATGTTATGAATCATAC